TCATAAGAGAAGGAAAACTGAAAGTAGTCCTTCACAAAGACAAAGCCCAGTAATCATAAATCCTTACAAAACTTCAATAAATATTAATAAATGTCATGTTCAAAGGAAATGCTATATTAAGACCAATGTTCTCTTATTTAACCTTAGGAATATTTGTCATACAAACCCTTGGTTGGATCAAGATGAGCCTTCTCTTTATTGCCTATCCAAAAAAAGAAGTAAATCATATCTTGAAAAAAAAAAAATCAACCAGCTTATCTACAGTTGGTCATAGAAATTGCCTGGTATCCAACAAAACCTATCAGATGTGTCAGAAGAAAGGACCGACTATCTGGAAACTAAGAGAGACAGAAAAAAAAAGTCAACAGAAACAGACCCATAAGTAGATCTCAATACTGAAATTGACATAGACATTAAAATAACTTTAATTAAAATGCTCAGAAGTATAGATGACAAATGGGAGAATTTCACTAAAGAAGTGATCTATGAAAAAGTTATCAATGAAAATTTTTTAAGTGAAAAATAGAACTGAGTAACTCAGTAGAAGGTTTGACAGATTAGACAGAAGAGCTGATCAGTAAACCAGAATAAAGGTCAGCAGAAAATATCCACTCTGAAGCATCAAGGAAAAAAAAAAAAGAAAATACAGAAAAGACTGTGCTCTCATGTACATAAAATCAGAATATCAGAAATGCAAAAGAAAAGTTTGGCAGAAGGAATATTTGAAGTAACATAGGCCAAGAAATGTTTGTAACTTAAGACTGTCATCAAGCCAGAGATTCAAGAAATTATATAAACTCTCTCAAAGAGGAAAAATGCAAAGAAAGCAATGAAGCACATCACAGAATAACTGCTAAAGTACAAAGACCAAAAAAAAGAAAAGAAAAGGAATTCCAGCCCAAGGTGGTGACATACAAGGCTCCTGAACTCAACTCTTTTTACGGACACACTGAATCAACTGCTACATATGGAAAATTCTCTTTGAAAGAAATCCATAAACTAGCTCAGCAATTCCTACACAACAACACAACTATAGAAAATCATCAAATCACAAAGGAAGAGAGCAAGAGAAGAAGGAACAAAGAATTATAAAATTGCCAGAAGACAATTAACGAAATGGCAATATTAAGTGCATGCCTATCAATAATTGTTTTAAATGTAAATGGACTAAACTCTCCAATCAAAAACAAAGAATGGCTGAATGGATTAAAGAAAAAACCCTCAACAATATGGTGCCTACGAGTGATTCACTTCAGCTTTAAGGACAAACAGACTGCAAGTGAAAAGATGGAAAAAGATATTCCATGTAAGTGGAAACCAAAAGCAAGCAGAAGCAGCTATACTGCATTCAAAATCATTTTACAAGACATGCATTCACCTAATACCAAAATCAGACAACAACATTAGAAGAAAAGAAAATCACAGGACAAAATCCCTGATAAACATAGATGTAAAAATCCTCTACAAAATATTAGTAAACTGAATTCAACAATACATTAAAAAAATCATACACCATGATCAAGTAGGATTTATTCCAGGGATACAAGAATGGTTCAATATCTGCAAAACAATCAACGTGATACACCACATTAGTAGAATGGTAAAAAAGAAAGAATCATGATCATCTCAACAGATGGAGAAAAAGCATTCTACAAAATTCAACATCCATTCATGATAAAAAGTCTTAAATTAGGTGTAGAAGGAACATATCTCAACATAATAAAGGCCATATATGACAAGCCCAGAGGAACATCATACTCAATAATAAAAAGCTGAAAGCTTGTCCTGTAGGATCAGGAACAAGACAAGAATGCCCATTTTCACCACTTTTATTCAACTTAGTACTGCCAGTCAGAGCAATAAGGCAAGAAAAAAAATAAAAGGCATCCAAATTAGAAAAGAAGTAAAACTGTCCTTTGCAGATGACATGATATATACAGAAAACTTAAAGACCACCAAAAACTGTTAGAACTAGTGAATTAATTCAGTAAAGTTGCAGGATACAAAATCAATATACAAATATCAGTTGTGTATCTATACACTAATAACAAACTATCAGAAAGAGATTTAAGAAAACAATCCCATTTATTTTTTTAAAGATTTTATTTATTTATTTGAGAAAGAGAGAGAGACAGAGACAGCATGAGCAGGGGGAGGAGACAGGGAGAGGGAGAAGGAGACTCCCCGCTGAGCAGGGAGCCCAATGTGGGGCTGAATCCCAGGACCTTGGGATCATGACTTTAGCCAAAGGCAGACCCTTAACCCACTGAACCACCCAAGTGCCTCAATCTCTTAAACATTTACTATTCTGCTGGTGTTTTGTCAACATTCAGTATGCACGTAAATATATGTTTAATAAAATCATATAATATATAATATTTATATATATATATATATTTCTAAGGATTCAAATATTATCACCTTTAAAAAAAAATTAATAGGCCAAATAGCTGTTTTCTCCTTCTGAGAGCTTTTATAAAGTCAAACGTTACATAAACTGAACATCTATTACATATCAGATACTTTCACATGTGTTATCTCATTTAATCTCTTATTATTCACATTTTCCAGAAGAGAACATTGTAATTCAGAATGGTTAAACCTGGTGTCAAAGGTTATACATATAAAAACAAAAGCCAGGCTTTGATCCTAGGGGTGTCTGTTTATAAAGCCAAGATCATTCTATTACCAGGGTTGGCAAACTCAATATAAAGAGCCAGAGAGTTAGTATTTTAGGTTTTTCGGGACATATGACCCTGTCACAACTACTTAACTGTGCTATTGTAGCCCAAAAGCAACTGTAGACAACATGGAAACAAATGAGAGTAGCTTTGTTTCAATATAACTTTATTAATAAAAACAGGTGGAGGGTCAAATTGCCAATCTCTTCACTATACTACAATGCACTTCCTCCTAGAGAACCTCCATTAAGTTTCATTAACATCACCAATTGTATCTCTCTCTCTCCTTAAAAAAGTATGACCTTAATCTTACTGGGCAATTTTATTTTAATGCTTTTCTTATTAGGCTCCATTATTTGAAACAGGTTACTCTTGCAGGAATACGTTCAACCTTTTACATCTTCTAACTATAATGCTAATTATATCAGAAATTAATCTATAAATCAGATAAAACTTTTTTTAAGATTTTATTTTATTCATGAGAGACAGAGAGAGAGAGAGAGAGAGAGGCAGAGGGAGAAGCAGTCTCCCAAGGAGCAGGGAGCCTGATGCGGGACTCGATTCCAGGACCCTGGGATCATGACCTGAGCTGAAGGCAGACGCTTAACCATCTGAGCCACCCAGGAGCCCTCAGATAAAACATTTCTAAAACTACAGTACTAGCATGCACTAAATTCTCAGTGTGAAAATGTCAAACATCCATATTTAAACTTCTCCCTTTTGAACTTTTTTTCAGTTATTAGTATCTAATTTTAATTGCTCAATCTTTATTTAATAAGCATAATCATCACAAGACCAAACTAATATACACAGCCAAGCAACAACAGCAAATATCCTCTTTTACTTATACAAAGTGATCATATATAGGGGCGCCTGGGTGGTGCAGTTGGTTAAGCATCCAACTCTTAGTTTCAGCTCAGGTCGTGATCTCAGGGTCATGAGATCAAGCCCTGCGTCAGGCTCTGCGCTCAGGGAGGAGTGTGCTTGGTCCTCTCTCCCTCTCTCTCTCTGCTCCTCCCCCTCATGCATTCCCTCTCTCTCTGTCTGAAATAAATAAATAAATCTTAAAAAAAAAAAGATCATATATACAAAAATGACCTAAAGACACAGAACTTAACGACCTTATTCTTTAGAAAGGCCCTTCGCTCCCTTATTCCAAAATTTAATTATATGTGCCACCACTGAGATTGTTATTTTTAAGATTTAAACAGTATAAAATGATACAAATAGGAAAGAAAATCCCCCTTCTCCATCAAGGATTCTGGTCTTTCTTCGCTTGCTCCCACTCTACCCTCCTTCCGCAGACACACACACACACACACACACAGGCACTCTTGTGCATGCTTTCTTTCCATTCTGTCTGCCTGTCTGCCTCTTTCTCTGACTTACACACACACACACGCACACACACACGGTATTTCAAAAACAAAATCCAAGTCCAAATAATGCACAAGATCAGACTGAATATCAACTGTACACACAAAACACAGAAGATTCAAAAACACATGATCAGATTCAAATCCCAGCTCTACAACTAAAACCAGTCGAATAATTACTAGCTTTGTGCCTTCAGTAACTACCTATTTAACCTCTATTAGTCTCTTTGCTCATCTATAAAAATGGGGGAAAAGTGTACCCCACCTCATGTGGTTGTTGTGTGCATTAAAGTGAGAATGGAAACAACATGCCCACAGCATGCCCAACAGCATGGTGTTGATACGTATATAGTCAAGTACTGAAAACTTGCCACTGCTCTTACTCCCACAACCACCCCTAACATCACCAATCTGGGACAAGTCTTAACTAAGATCTATTGTTATTCCTGTACAAAATGGGAAAAGCACTGTTTCCAACGGTATATATAACAACAACTTTTTAAAGGATCCTGCAAATTCTTCTTTTCGTTGTGAAAAGTCAGGGGAGAAAAGTCCCTTTTCTCAAAAACTTAACATTCCTTTGAGAACCTTTAAAAAATTAAGTCTATTTTTATTCCTGAAAGGAAATAAGAAGTTAGCATTTTTCACTTACTCTCTCATTGTTGTAGGTATTTTTAAACCAAAACATATATACCGAAAGATCTAACATGTTGCTTTTTCAAGAAAGTCACTCAACCCTAATATATAATCATAAATGGATTTGGTTAAAAGGGAACGTCAGATGAAGGTCTACTTTCTCAATCCCAATATATTTTAAAATTAACCAAGTTTGGCGTTTACTTTTGTTGTTTTTTGTTTTCAATCTTCTGCACGTAAAGGAACCACATGTTAATAACTGTATGCTACCGTCATTCTAACATCAGTGGCTATAAACATTTCTTACCAAGTTACGCTTTTTTACTGGAAGAAAGTAATAATAGTGGCAGAAAGAAAACATCAGTGCGTAGGAAGTAAGAAGTTCCGTGTAGAAACACAACTGCAGAAAAAGCCAATGATTGTCTTCACCCACACAATTGTTAATCCTGGAGAAAAAAGGAAAACAGACACGGTATTTTAAACTTTAATAAGATGTTCACATCAGGACCGGGAAAACTGAAAATAAACACAAACAACTTCATATATGCTTGACTTAACGGAGCTCTGCTAATGGCACTTCAACCTACAAGCCAACAGCACACAGGAACAGCTATACGCTAAATATGCCACCTCACATTTGCAAAGCCCTTTCTACTTCACAACGGAAGTCCATGGATGCAATCGGTCTTCAACTCACAACCACCCGGTGTGGCAGGAAGAGCAGATGGCAGTCTCCTCGTTTCATTGGTATGGAAACGGGAACAAAGGAGTGAAGACACTTGCCAGAGGAAGCGACAGTAGCCAAGAGAACAAGAACTTTCTCCTAGATATTGCTCTTCCATTACAGCATCCCAGCTGTGGAGAGCAATTTGAATGATTGGAAGTAAGAAGACTGAAAACTGCCACTCTGACCTTACTGCTAAGCACTCCCGGTTTGTCTTACTTTTCCATTCTATCCTTGCTCGCTGAAAATAAATATATATCCACAAGTATTTACAAATTCTTAGAGCTACACTTCCACCATGACAACAGTGAATCATAGCTAGGAAAAATAATTAACGTGGTAATCCTAAAATTTTCAAGGCTGATGCAGGCTGAAAATTTTAGTGTTCCAAATTTTCAGAATATTTTATAATTCCCACAGAAAACCCTAGTTCAAAACTAGAACTTAGCTTGCACAAATGTTTCCATTTCCCTATAGCATTATACTGCCATTGTTCGGGGGAAAAAAGATATAGCTGGTCCAATTCCTTACAAACTGTTGTTTCAAAGGTGTATCATTAAACTATTTTTTTTTTTAATCAGACATAGAAGTAAATGCAAAACTCAAAGAGGCATTCCCTAAACTTAAGAGCTCATGCTTTGTAAACATGAAAGTTCCTGTGTTTTGCGACTTGCAAGCAGGGCCTTCACAGAAGTGTGTTCACATGTGCACTCAAACATACTCTCCAACAGCTACGGCTTCAGTGACTTAACCTTGTCCCATCTTCCTTGACCCCCCCTGCTTTAATGATGGCATTCTTAACCAGAGAGCTTTGAGAAATGCAAAGGTACTCAGTCTATATGTAAGAGTTCTCTCAATAACAAGCTACTCAGGAAGCCAGAAAGAGAGAAAATCTCCAGGTGATCTGAGAACTGACCTCCAAATCTAAAGCTGTTAGGCAGTTAAGATAACGCAGTTTCTGGAAATATCAAAAAATTTCCTTGCTTCCAATTCACACTGTCTATTTCCCTCACCCTCTGACTACCTCGGCAATGCCCTATTAAGGAATTCAATCACGAAAGTCCCTCAATCTGTTTAAGGCCTCTGGTCTACCGTCCAACCCTACCTCCAACTCCTACTTCTACTTTTCTTCCCACACAACAGAGAGCTCACCACCCAATCTTAGAATTTAGATTAATAGCATATTTTTTGTCACCAAGTTAATCTTTATTCCTTAAAAATAAAGAAAGAATGTCGCTAATCTCCACAGTACCATAACATCTCCTGGTTGATTATTTTTAAAGCTTAAACTCTTGCATTCTTTTAAAAGGAAGTATCAAAATCCAACCGTAACATGAACATTTATTATATTCTTAATCAGAAACATTACCCTAAAAAAAGGTTATACAATTGAGTTTTTCAGTGTGGTTACTACTTGCCTAATAATACATATTTTACCTAGCCTTTTGTTTTTTAAGGTATTACTATTTTAACTGTAAGCAGATCACTCAGGTTTAGAAAATCACTTGAGAATTAATCTGTTTAAATTCAAGGCATATTTTTTAAACATCGGCTATATATTATACACTATACTATTCCATTAATGGACTTAGACAATTTTAAACATTTTTTATATAGTAACAAAGTGCTTTTATCTAAAACGCTTTTATTTTTCCTAATCTTGGGAAATTACCTTCTGTTTAAATAATCAGTTTATGGTAAAAATCAAATTTTCACTAAAAGCCTGCAAATATTAACTTGTGCTATCAGAGTAAGTTATCAGAAAATATGGGGAACTCTAAATTGGTCAGCATCATCCAGCAAAGCTAAACGCCACCACTGAGTCAACTATAGATAAATGCAGTTATAAATGTAAGAAGCCTATTATGCAGTTAACTTTGTATATGTGCATGTATGTGTGTACAAACATAAATATATATGTATTTAGATATATTTACAAAGTGCTACACTATACTAGTTTAAATATTTATACAGAGATCCCATGCTAGGAAAACAGAATTAAATACAATATCTTGTTCACAGATTTTTGTGACAGCTTTGAAATGAGATACAATGCAGAATTCTCACAGCATTTGTTTTCAAAATTCTATTTCTCAACAGAACTGTTTTTAAAAATATTACAAGAGAGCCCCCTATTGACCAAAAATGTTGCCAGTTCAGGAGAATCAGCTAACTGCCACTTACACACATCCAGCTTGCAGGGAATCTTAATACCTGCGTCCAATACATAATATTGAAAAAAGCTTACAGGGGGAGAAATGAGGTTATCAGAGTATCTGAGATGTGTTATTCTTTAACTAAACAACTGGAAAGGGAAATATAAACAATGCAATGTATACGATTTACTACAGTTAGAGACAATAACAGCTACTATTTAAGTGCTTTTTATGTGTCAGATGCTACACTACAATGCTTTACATACATTGCCTCATTTAATACAACAACCTTAGTTCTCTTGTACACCTGGGTGCATTGACACTAAATGTCAATTTTCTGCTCAAATAGCTCTTTATTAGAAAAGATAGGATCTCTGTGCAAAAATGACTTTGGCAGTTGATAGAATCTGACAAACCTGACAGTATCCTTACTGAAGGATTTTTTAAAACTGCATGATTTTAATATAACTTTTATTTAAATCTGCTAGGTACTAAGATTTATTTTTCACTATTTTTTCTTCTAAAAGTAAATCATAAATTTCTTACCATGGACAGTGATGATCCATTCTCCTAACACAGTGGCCGCAGCGGCTACAGTGATGGGAACGCTTTGGTCTCATCAAATTACATTTGTTACATAATTCCCAGAACTCCCGTTCTAGAGAAGGAAATTAAAATCCACTTAATAAAGGCAAATGAGTAATGTTGAAATTTAGCAATAACAGTTTAGATTTTATAGGAAGTCTTCGATATATATGTCCAAGATTTTTCTTCTTCTACATCTTCACTGTAAAAGAATTTGCCATAAATATTGCTTCTCTATTCTATGCATGTCTTATTCTATACATTTCTAATTTTAAACACTATAAAAGTAAGACACCATTAATAGTCAAACTAAGGGATAGAAAATAATGTATTCAGGTTATGGACATACTTGCTATAAGTGAAATTTAATGACAAATCCCGAAAGCACAACCAAATTATTATACTAAAATAGAATTTTATGTACAAATTAATTTCTAGGAATTTTACTAAAGACTCTAAAGAAGAAATCATTCTGAATCCTAGTTTCATTGATTAAGAAGTCAAAAATCAATCCTATAGGGGCAACTGGGTGGCTCAGTCTGTTGAGCATCTGCCTTTGGCTCAGGTCATGATCTCAGGGTCCTGGGATCCAGCCCACATCCATCTGGCTCCCTGCTCAGCGAGAAGTCAGCTTCTCCTTCTCCCTCTGCCCCTCCCCCAGCTTGTGCCCACGCACGCACACTCTCTCTCTCTCTCTCACTCGCTCAAATGAATAAAAGCTTAAAAAAAAAAATCAATCCTATAAACTCATTAGAAAAACAGAGATAGCATTCCCACCCCCTAACCATTTTATATTTTTAATATCAGTGAATTCATTTAGGAGTGTTTATGGGAGAGGGTAGGAAAATTTTATGTTTCAGATGGTATAGGAGGTATTAGGATGATTTCAGAAGTAAAGATGATTACAAGAAAATTATTATTTAATGGAAATAAGGGAGTTCTTTACAAAACTCTTTCTTACAACCAAATAGCAATTTCCTCTACCTTGTAATTAAAGAGCACACATTTAAGTTTTGTGCTAAAAACATTAAGTTTACAGAAATAAAAAGTCATTTATTTTCATTATAAATTTTTCTAATCAGATCTATGAGAACTATATGAAAGTTATCTATCAAAACAACTGCTTTATTATACAGAATGTATCTATTTAATATTTGTTGAAATGGAATTTTACTTTTACAAAATTCTTAAACCTTCCATCACTTACATTTAAACTACACTCTAACCTTGTTAAAAGCATGGGCATAGTAATAGTAAAATTGAGTGAATATTCATATATGCAAAGTATGACCCTAGCACACAGTAGGTGGTCACTAAATGCTTGCTAAAGTATGAATTTTTAAAAAATGAAAGATTTTAAATATAAGTAAAAGAAGATAATAGTAGACAGTATTCAATTTTCTAAAAGATACCTTATTTCAATTCCATTAATTTAATTTAATGACCAGGAGTAAAATCAATATACTGGAATTTTATATAGTGAAGTATTAGGAAAACATTCTGCTATAGAAGAAATCAATAATAATATCAAATTAATTGTTCCAATAATATTAAAGTTGAGAAATTAACTTTTGCACTTAAAATTTCATTTTTTTAATTCCTCATTTAAATTCAACTTAGTTAACATATACTATATTATTAGTTTCAGGGGTAGAATTTAGTGATTCATCAGTTGCATATCACACCCAGTATTCATCACATCACGTGCCTTCCTTAACGCCCATCAGCCAGTTACCCCATCTCCCCCACCCACCTGCCCTCCAGCAACCTTCAGTTTGTTTCCTAGAGTTAAGATCCTCTTTCATTTCTTACTTACAGTTCTTATTTTAATAAAAACTTACATGAGAAAGCAACATTAAAGTTTAATTCAGATGGTTAAATTAGTATTATTTAACTGTAACTGAAACGAAAACTCATTTCATATGTAGCACAATACAATGTCACAAGCAGATTACTCTTTTCCCACTTAGTGAGATGCTCCCAAACATCCCAATGTTAAAACTGAATTCACATACTGCAAGGAATAGAGTCAGGAAGCAGACTCCCCCTGATGAGCCAATTTTCATTAAAAGACAACAGAAAAACTTTAGTTTTTTAAAAACCAGTGCCTTAAAATATAAATATGGCATATTTATACTGGTCATTTCAGCATATGATATTCTAGAGAGTAAAATTCTTTATTTCACACTTGAAATGTTGTGTCCTCAGAAAAGAAGGCAGCATTTGGTTATAGTGAGAGAAAGCCTGTAATTGTGTAGTCTAGACCACGGGGTGGCAAACTACAGTTCACAGGCAAATCCAGGCCACCACCTGTTTTCATGAGCTAGGAATGATTTTTACAGTTTTCAACAATTGAAAAGAAGAAGAATGTGTGATATGTAAAAATCCTGAAATTCAAATTCCAGTGTCCATACATAAAGTTTTATTTGAACACAGTTCAAATGAACACCCATTCATTTACGTTTTATCTATGGCTGCTTTTGGGTTGCAATGGCAGAGCTGAGGGGCTGTGACAGAGATTGTACGGGTCTATAAAGCTGAAAATATTTACTATCTGGACCTGTACGGTAAAGAAGAGTTTGCCAATCTATGGTCTGGATCACAAATTTGTTTAAAGAACGAGCTTGAGCCATTCCTTGGCTAAACTTAAGATATTATACAAGTATCTAAAATGGCTTTGAAATCTCACATTTTCACACACACACACACACACACACACACACCTATGTGTTTAGAGAACAAAGAAAAAAAAATCACTATTTTAAATACCTAGAAATTTAATTAAAGTAACCTCTATGTTTTTGCCTCATATAACAAGAAAACAAAAATCCATCCATCTTAACCTACCCTACGTATCTAGAAACCATTTCTTGCTCTTTTCCCTTTCCTTCTTTAGGTTTATTCATTCCAAATGTGACCTTGGTGACTGACATATTCTGATGTCCGAAGACTTTTGTACTAGCATCTAATATAAAATAAAAGCCTGTGGGGGGCGGGGATCAGAAGGCAAAATACCATCTGTAAGTGATGAAAATAAAAATTTTAAATTAAAAAAAAGCCCATGGGAGAGAGAATTCAACTGCTAATTTATGGTAGCTATAGAAAAATTGACAACTGACTTTTTTTAAAGCAAAGAAAAATTTTAAAGGAAAGAAAAATAGAAAAGTGACTTTTTTTAAAGAAAAAAAATCAAAACACAAAGAAAAGAAGACAAATCCCATAAATGCCTGGGTACACCTAAGTAAGTAACTTAGGTAAACAGTATGCCACTGTGTTGCATGGATCCTCTTAATGCTGTAAATGCATGAATAAACAAAAAGCAAGATTTGGTTTTGTTTTATTTATCCCTCAGAAAGAAAGGAATCACCTTCTAAGTAAGACTTTTAAAAGACTTATTAGGTCTTCTCAATTACTGTATTTCAAACCACAAAGTAATGTTTTAGGGAGAAAAATATAACTTGAAACTATGAAAATCAATACGTTTGGCTCTTCACAGAGGTTCCCTGACAGAATCACTTGCCAATGTAGAAAATAAATGGTAGTAAGTCTCTAACAGATCTCCTTATAAAAAGCAATGTAAGAAATGGGGAGGGGCGCAAAACTACAAGTGAAAACATGACCCTGAGCATTAATAGCACGTGACCCTACCACTCAGGGTACAATTTCAAGGGACATTATCACACAAATTTTAAACACGCTACATTTTTTTTTTTAAACTTGGAAGATTTTGCTCTGTAACAGGGTGATTCTACTCAAAGTGGCTCTAATGATGACAAAAAACACTGAAGTCAAACATGTAAGTTAAGAGCTTGATGATGAAAATGTTCTAGGGGCACCTGGGTGGTTCAGTCGGTTAAGCGTCTGCCTTGGGCTCAGGTCATGATACCAGGGTCCTGGGACCAAGCCTCATAACCACCTCCCTGCTCAGTGGGGAGCCTGCTTCTCCCTCTGCCTGCCATTCCCCCTACTTGTGCTCTCTCTCTGTCAAATAAATAAATAAAATCTTAAAAAAAGAAAAAGAAAAAAGAAAAGAAGAAAGAAAGAAAAGAAAAGAAAAGAAAAGAAAAAAGAAAAGAAAAGAAAAAAGAAAAGAAAAGAAAGAAAAGAAAAATGTTCTAAAATTGATTGGGGTGGGATGCCTGGCTGGCTCAGTCAGTAGAGCATGCAATTCTTATCTCTGGATTAGGAGTTCAAGCCCCATGTTGGACGTAGAGCCTACATACATATGTACATACATTCATAAAATTGATTGTGGTAACAGTTGCACAACTCTGTGGACATACTAAAAGCCATAAATTGTACATCTGAAATGGGTGAATCATATGGCATGTGATTTATACTCAATAAAGCTGTTTTTTTTAAACTTAAGAGATTGAATAAAATCATTTCATAAAACTTGAAAATGACATAAAGTAATATTTCTATATTTCAAGTATGCATGGGATTAATATGAATAATATAAATAGACATTTAATGATTTCATTTGACTATTTCATCTATATCCCCAAAAGTTTATAAAAGTCAAATTCTGGGGATCTTTGTGTGGGACAGCAGAACCTCCTCTTATATTCAAACTGCCTCATATATTTGGCAGGTCACACAGATATTAAATTTATCTAAAATCTATTATAAAAAAAACAGAAAGTCATGTAAAATATTTCAGAGTAATCCAATTAAAACATGGTTAAAATCAAAAGTATTAGGGCTTAAGTTTCCTTTCCTAAAAAATTCAATTATATGAAACTGCTCAACCTTAAAACAGTGATGAATAAATGTCACTTCTTATAGCCCGAACTCTTTAGTCATGCTATGTTATTTTTTTTACTCTTAAAATTTTGTTATTTTATACTAAGTCAAAACCATATTTACAAAATAATCAGCATCACGAGGCACATGAGACTTCAATTTTCCCCAGAATCAGAGCAAAGGTGAATAAAGGGCTAAAATTATTAACCTCTATATAGATGCGTGGTAAAAAAAAGATGATGGAGACAAGTATTTGGGTGTCACAGCAACCTGCTCTGTGACCTACAGAGGACAATCTACACTTGATTATTCAGTCTACCTACCTCATGCAATTGCCATGAGGATCAAATGATAGGAGATAGTAAAAGACTTTGGAAATATTAAAATACAATAAATGAATGTGGTGGTTGTTTTTTTTTTTTTCAATTGGGCAAAAGGTTAAGTCTTCGGGACTCAGTGAAGAAAACTAGGCTAGATGCCAAATGAGATCAGAAAGAATGCAGACATCCAAACAGCAGCAAGATACCATGGAGTCTTCCATTACTAGGGTCTATAAGCTAAAGGTAACACAGCGGTTTAATGCAGATTCAGTTAGGCCTACAGACACAACTTCTTTAGTATTCACTTAAAACCAATGTTTTTAAATGTTTAGTTTTTTTGTTAATTTTTTTAAATCACAAAAGTTCTCTTAAAAACTGTAATTTTCTGTTTTCTCTTTAAAAATTGTAAGATCTATGAATACCGGGCCTACGTGACAATTTCACTGCAGCTACTGCCTTTGGATATGAGATTTTCAATATGAAATAGTTCTTTCTTGGCCCCTTTCACTGATTTGCAGTATCTAATACATGTAGGCATCTGAGTGACCACTGCACACTAAAGATTTCATCAGAAATGGGTCCTTTTTTTTTTTTGTTCAATTAGCCAGCATATAGTACAACATTAGTTTTTGACATAGTGTTCAATGGTTCATTAGTTGCGTATACAACCCAGTGCTCATCACAACACGGTCCTGAGTTAGGAAAAGGTTACTTCCCTAATTCTCTAGAAACACTGGGCTTTAGAAATGAAGGAGGCAATACAACCACCAATGTGTTAGAGAGCCTTTCTTTGGGTTAGGTTAGTTGAGAAAAGAGATTCCGTACAAACTGCAGACTGCCACCCACCACCCCCCGCCCAAACACACACAAAAACTAACAGTGATGCTGCTTCTCTAAGTGAACAGAAACGAAATACTCGACACAGTTCTCAGAAACTTCTACAGTCACATAAAACATCAGTGTCTTATCATTCCCACTTAATCATTAAACTTGCAAGGCCACGTATGTCCCTAAATGATGGGTCTCAAAAAACAACATTCAGGAACTCAAGGGAGACTCACTCCCTTAGTGACTTGCCACTAATCTAATTTCAGAAGGAATTAATAGGTTCCCCAGTTTTTTACACACTGGAATCACCTGGAATCTTTGAAAAATGCTGATATCTGGCTCCTACCTCCATACATTATGATTTAATTAATATGGGATTGGGATCAGGACACTGAGGTTTTTTTTTAATTATTTATTTATTTGACAGAGAGAGAGACACAGTGAGAGAGAGAACACAAGCAGGGGGAGTGGGAGAGGGAGAAGCAGGCTTCCCGCGGAGCGGGGAGCCCGATGGGGGGCTCGATCCCAGGACCCTGGGACCATGACCTGAGCCAAAGGCAGATGCTCAACAACTGAACCACCCGGGCGCCCCAGGACACTGAGATTTTTAAAAGCTCCTTGGTGACTCTAATGTCAGCAAGGTTGGAAAGCACTGTAGTACTATAGAAAGTGTTCTGATTCTCTAATGTCCAACGAAGTCATGGGAATGTCTCCTTAGAAGAAAGTACAGAGAGTTCTCAAAGCTTATAGAACAAATGATCCAAAAGTGAAACTGAGGAAAGAGAGTTTTACTGAGGTTTACTATACCTGGCATGTAATAAAACAAGCAATACATTTTCAATTCATTTTTGTGGTTCAAATGGTTATTGTGCAATAAGGTGACCCAAAACTACCTTCAATTGACACTAAAATAAAAAGCTTTCAAATTTTTCACTGAATTGTTAGAACTTGGAAAAATATAGGCAATAGTATCATTAGACTACAAGTATTTACTCTAAGCAATATTCTATTTATAATTTATAATATCACCAAGAGAGGGGACCATCAAAAAGATCCCTTTATTAAATAAAAATATATCAGGTACTTAGGTATCATTCAACAAGCATTTACCCAGCATCTACTAAGTGACAGAGATGGGCACTAAGGATACAGCACTGAACGAAGAAAACAAAACAAAAAATCAACACCCTCACAGAGGCTATATAGGTCTAGAGTGAAGAAAAACAAGTCTAGACAGAAAAACAAGTAAACTACAAAGAGGCAGAGAGTGGGGGATACCAGAAGTCAGCTGGGATTTGCGATTTTAAATAAAATAGTACATTATATGAAAAAAGAAAAAAGAAGAAGAAAGCAGGAGGTGAAGAATGAAGGGGGGGGAATCAGAGGGGGAGACGAACCATGAGAGACTATGGACTCTGAAAAACAAACTGAGGGTTCTAGAGGGGAGGGAGTGGGGGGATGGGTTAGCCTGGTGATGGGTATTAAGGAGGGCACGTTCTGCATGGAGCACTGGGTGTTATACGCAAACAATGAATCATGGAACACTACGTCAAAAACTAATGATGTAATGTATGGTGATTAACATAATAAAAAAATAAGAAGTCTAGAAAGGAAACATCGGAGAAAAGACTTGAGAGTGGTGTTAGAGAACATATATAATGAATACATACTAAAGGCTATAAAACACATTCACAAAGGTAATAATGCCGAGAGAGCAAAAGTGATCAATCTGAAGAGCGCCATACCTCCGTGTGGAATCTTAGGGTTCTCGGGGAGTCTTCCTGGATCAGTAAATGAGGCCCTCACTAAAGCAACCAGACAAAATATGGCAATGCCATAGAATACTTTGAAATAAATAAGAAAGTTAAGTAAATAAAATCAGTCATTTATTCTTTAAAACACTTTATCAAAAAGCATATTCAAAGTTTAAAAGCATGTTTTAATTAATGCCATCAGAATAAGTAATTTTCAAAACTAAAATGGAAAAATGATTAAATAAAATAATTAAATATTCACTTCATTCATCAAATACTACTGCCAAGAGGACTATCTCGTACATATTAACTTTAAATATTATTTTGCATAATAACTGATAAACTTGTTATAAATCAGACTTTTTATTAACAGAGGTTCCTTGTCAATAATGGCATAAATGAATGGGCTCCCTTTTAATTACTACATGTACTATATTTGACAGAATCAAAGCAGCATTTTAAAACCCATCCTACAATTAAACTTTTTCATTACCTCTAACTGGCTATCTTCAAAATTACTTTGAGTTAGAGATATTCAATTGCTCCTTTTAATAGAGCTTAAGATATTGATGTAATGTGAAAATAAAGAATCTAGAAATTTTGAGTTTTTAAAAGAATAACTAGAAAAATAACAGTAAGGAAAAACAGGTTCATTCATTGTAATTCTACCTTTTAAAATGAATAAAAAGATAGGCATTTGGCGGGGGAGGGGGGAGGCCCTGCACCAGTAAGAGGAAACTCAGTTTGAGTGCTAACTCCAGGAATGACTGCATGGTATTGGTCAGTTTTACCACTTGTATAACAGAGATATTTCCCACAGCCCTTGTGAGGCCAAAATGACATAACGTACAAGGAAACTCTAAATGCCACATACATGTAAAATATATCATTTCAATCTTATTCTTTTAATCATAAGCAAGCCATCACCAAATGAACGACAGCAGAAAATGATTATCCAGAAGTTCAAAGTGTTATCATAATCAACGTCATAATTAGTAATTTTTGCATCATGAAAGTCTCATTTCTCAGTAATGTATATCATCTTCATTCTTAAAACTCCTTCCACATTTGAAATAAGTACATAATAGAAACATTAAAAATGCACACAGACACACACAAAATAGCACTACTGTGCCAGTTTCGGTTTAAACAAAACGACCTGTATATATTTTGCAGAGCTATGGAGAGGCTACATTTACCCAACCCTGCAAAATCTATAAAAGCCAGTCTTCTTTAAAACTTCCCTAATTTAGTAAGTAACTTAATATTAATAGTGCCAATAATATTAAAAGAAAAGTTATCATAGTGATACTATACTCCAAAAATATTCACAATGAGAAAACTAATTGTATAAAGAAATAAAGATCAGGAACTTACTTATTATTAATATGCCTGGAATATGTCCTTCTTCATAGTGAGGAAAGAGGACAATTTTGGGAATTAAAACAATATTGTATAACCAGACAAAGACAATCAAACCCATGCAGCACCAACCATGTGGGTCAACAACAAAGTGAATCCGGAGACCCATTCTGCAGTCCTACAACTGCGTGCCAACCCACAAGGAAAGACAGTCCTAAGGAGAGGTGACAAAGAAAAAAATTACTTATGTAGAAAAAATTATTTGACTGAAACAAAACTATATTACTGGCAACTATAAAATGATGCCGAGTTTTCTTTGGATATTTTTGACAAAATGAAACACAATGCAAAACAAAGAGAAGTTTCAAGATATTCAAACTTCATCAGAGGCTTCAAATCCTTTAATTCCAATTTTTACTATGAATTGCTATCACAGAGGATAAATTAGCAATACCTTCTGAAGCTAAACACAAGTCTGTCCTTAACCCAGCAATTCCACGTGTAAACCCAAGAGAAATGAGACATATATCAAAAGATACATGCAAAATTTTTTAGTAGTTTTAATCATTAGACTAACTGATGGTCATACAAGTCAAAACAGTGGTCCTCTTGTGGTGGGAGGGGAACATAAGGGAAACTCTGAGGGGCTAGAATTGTTCTCCATCTTGACCTGGGTGGTGTTTCACGGGTATATACATACGTAAAAATTCACTGTGCTGTACTCTTAAGATCTGTTTGATTTATTTTAATTTTAAACCACAATACAATGCCTAATCATTTTGGAAAATTAATAAAAAGCGGAACATAATCACAAATTGCCAAAAATATTTAAATTCACAGAACAAAGCCCAACTAATCTTACTACTATCAATTCAAGAAGACTACTGTTTAAATGGAGTTTTTTCACTGAGTGTTAACAAAATGTTAATCGACCTTCCAGTGAGACACTTAAAGTTGATACTTCTATATTTATGGTACCAAAAAAGGTGATTTAAGATATATGCCTACCTTCGTAGATATAATTTATAAGGCTTAAACAGGAAATTATAAGGTCAAGGGGGCACCTTTTACATAAAATAAAATGGAATAATACAATAACAAACTAGGACAGTGTTTCTCAAACCTGTAAGCAAACCGGAATCGACTGAGGAGCTTTTTAAAAATGTTATTCCCAGGCCCCATTCCAGATCTACTGAATCATAATTCTTTATGGAATAACAGCTCAAAAACCAATAAAATGTTTTAAAATGTTCCCCAGGTTTCTCTGATAGAGCACACTGGTATCTAGAAACCACTGATCCAAAAGCTTCCCTAAGACTTCCATGGTAGGGCAATGAGTTGAATGCAGTTCAACAAATTTATTCACGGAGCCGCCATTAACACACCAGTTATTATAGATACAATGATGAATGAGATGTGGTCTTTGCTTAAAGTAACTAACAGTCTACTGGGGAAAAGAGTCAGAAAAATGGGTTTAATACAACTTGTTAAGTACCAGAGATGTGGACAAGATGTCACCAGAAGAAGGAGGATCGGGACTAGTTAAATCAGGGCAAGACTTCCTCTAGGTGGTGAAATCTGAGTTCAGCTTTAAAAGACAAGTAAAAGTTAATCCAAGCAAAGAAAAGTGACAACAATACTGCAAACAGAAGGAAGAGCAGGAGGTATACAAGAGTAAAAATTGTAGGAGGTATTACAAATTGCCATCATAAGTCATGAAGCTCGCAGTGGAGAGTGAGGGGTGAGAAATAAAGACATTAAGATGCCACGTTAGAATGCTAAGACTTCATTCTTTGGCATTGGAAAGCTACTGATGCAAGAAGTTAACATAATGAGATTTATACTTTAAATAAAGTATTGAAGCTCTGGTGTCGAGGATAAAATTAAAGATCAGTTAAGCTAAGGAAAGACAAAAGCCAAAATTAGGTTTGAGAAGAGATCAACTGAGGAAACAGTTAGAATCAAACCAGTATGTTTTACTAACTGACTGGATATTAGGGGTTACAGAGGAAAGAGTCAAGAAGGACTCGGAGAGTTTCATCTTCTATCCCTCACTATCATCAGTTGGAGAGCCTCAGGGTGCGGTCCCTTAGAGGCCCTGCCAATGTTCTTTAAAGCTAAAAGCTACCGGAACAAAGAAAAAAAAAAAAAGATTTAGGATTAGCTAATTTTAAAGTAATACCCTGATCCTATCATCCTTAGAACATGCAAATACTGGAGCAGCAGAAAAAAAAAGACAAGAACTCAAACGCAACAGCACCCAACTGTTTAAATCAGATATGGTCTAAATTAGTACTTATGTACGAATTTTAAAATAGGAATAGTGCCTAGGCCTTTAAAAAAGTAAAAGTTGAACTTCATTACCTTTTAATTAGAAAATTACAAGAACTATCAGTATCATTAAAGGGAGGAAAGTCACAGAGGATAAAGTATGCTATTTAATTTACTGGGTATCATTGTTTTAAAAACTAAAGGAGCTCAAATACAAATGATAAGCTGTCTACATAGCTAAAATGAGAAACATTAAAAAGAATGTTTTTTTTACAGTCTTGCCAACCATCAAGTGCCAAAAGAAATGACAGAAGGCTCTGTCTCTCAACATGTTCAATATTATTAACTCCATGTACCTTCTTTCTTGTAATGTTTCAGTTCCAGACAGGACTGAAAAACAGATTATGAATTCCAATCATCACAGAGAACAGAGTAATTTCATTACTTATTTCTAAATTTATTAATATTAGAAACAGAAAAGCATTCAAACAAGCAGCAGAAGTATCACTCATTCATGTTTCTGAACTCTATTTGTATCCTCCTCTACCAGAGAATAACAAGTTCTTCTTAGGAGATTCCTCACAACTGAAGAATACTAGATACCGAAAAGCATAGTTAAGGGTGTCTGATTTTCCTGCATGTGAGCAGATATAGACAACAGGCTCTAAAACAAAAAGCATCCCCAAGGAAAAGCAAGCAAAGAATAGAAAAATAAAACAATGAGTAAATAAGATGTTGAATTGTTTTTTAAATACCTGGTGAGTGAAAATTAGTGCCACATAAGCTTTACGGCTAGACTGTAGAGAAGCAAACAGTAGTCTTCGAAGAGCTCCAAATCAGATTACAACCAGAAACACATACCTGGTAGAGTGGTAGGGATCACTCCACTCAGTTAATATCTCCCAGGCGTGGCTTATGGCTGAACAGAAACTATTACACATCCTGAGCCACAACCAAACTGAACACAGCGCTGCTACTCGGTCCTAAGGGTGGCATCTGTAAAATACTTTCATTAGCCAGAGATTCTAACATGCTAATTTGTATATTAAAAGGTGAGTTCATAACTCAAACTTTGATGTAACTAGTGGACATACTGGTACTTCAACATTTTTTAAGATTGCTATCTGGTAACTCTACTTGAGTGCTGTGACTAACTTCATTAATGATGTAAATTACTACAGCACAAACTTTTTTTTTAAAAGATATCATTCAACTCTAGTTAATAAACTAGACTACATAAATATTTACAGTGTCCAAACTATTCTAGGAGGAAAAGACCTTTCCTTTCTTGCCTTTTTAGGCCACTAAATTTTACCATGTATTTTCTTCAGGAAGAATACTCGAATCACTACGAAAAGAAAGGGAAAACTATTATAGGACCGAAAACTATACAATCAAAATGCAGCTTTTAGAAAATGATAAAAATTAGCCAAGATAATTTACAAGAAATCTAGCCAAATGTTCTCTCTAAACTTAGTTTTATATGACTCTCCACCTCAGCCAGTAGTCTTAACGAATGTTCCATGAATATGAAAAAAACATTCCCTCTCTCATTCCTCCTATCTGAAATGTCCCTACCATTTTGCTTACTCTATTTAAATTCAATTCACACTTCAAGGTCAATTTGAATCTCATTCTCCAGATGAAATTTTTCCTGCCACCTCAGTTCACGGTGATTTTCCTCTTCTAAATTCCAAATACAAAGCAAAACTAGTACAAGAAAATAGCAAGTGGTTTTATAACCTCAAAACGAGGAAGACCTTCACAAACAAGACCTTCACAAACGAGACCACATAAAGATTAAAATTTCTGAAGCCTAAAACATATCAAAAACAAAGGTAAAAGACAAAGTATCCCTTTTAAAAAATATTACAACATCTGACTGCTAAGAGGCATACAAAAGAAATACACAGAGAAGCGATTCACAAAGAAAAAAAATTTAATGGCTAATCATTACTGATTAGGAAAATGTGAAATAACTAGGTATGTTTTTCATCCTTTGTACTCACAAAATTTTGGAAAGATTACCCAATGATGAGAGAGCACAGAGAAAAAGATACTCCCACCCATTACTGCGATGCATGTAAACTGATACAATCATCTTTAGATGGCAATGTAGCAGTAGCTATTAAAAAGTCAAACTCTCTGACCCTTTGACAAACTATTTGACCCAGCAGTTTTACCTGTAGTAAGAGCTACCAAAGTACTCATTAGAGTGTGGAGGTACATGTACATTCAAGGTGTTCCACACAGTGCTTTTTGTAATCATAAAAATTGGGCACAACATCAGTGCTCATGAAGAGGGAGAGGAATGACCAAATAAATTATAAGACATCCAAGATGTAGAGTTATTTCCAAGCTACCGCAATTAAAAAGAAAGAAAGAAAGAAAGAAAGAAAGAAAGAAAGAAAGAAAGAAAGAAAGAAAGAAAGAAAGATCTAAATCTGCATAGGGCTACCCACACGTAGTGTTGAATGAAAGAAAGGAGGTTATGAGAAAAAGCTTAACAGTGGTGTCCTGGAGAGGAGGATAATGAGAGACTAGGAAAAAGTATAAGGGAACATTCTGGTTCCCTCATAAAGATCTCTATCTTGATAGGAATTTGAGACACAGGTTGTTAATTTGTCGAAAGTCGGCAAATGTACACTTAAGAATGGTGCATTTCATGGTATGTAAATATACCTTTTAAAAAACCCTATAAACCAACATTGAACTCTAGCTAATGATATGTAGGCTGAAGTATCAGGGAGGGGGCGGAAGGAGGAAATGTACTAACGTCTGCAATTTACTATGAAATGGATCCAAAAAAAATAAAGTGGATTGAAGGATGGACAGAGAGATGGTTGAGCATGTCATGAAGTTTAATAAAATATCAGTTGTAGAATCTAGGTGATAGGTATTCAGATGTTACACCATAACATTTTTTCAACTCTTCTGTTTAAAATTTTCATAAGTAAATGTTGCAGGGGAAAGCAAATTATAAAAAAGTTTGTATAACATGCTTTTTTTTTATTAAAAAAACATGTATTAGTAATTTCTATATATGTACAGGGAAAAAAAGTATAGAAGAAAACATATCCGTCAAACTGTTAACATGACTGGTTATCACTGGGCTGAGGAAGGATAGAGCAGTGCAAAGAAAGCTTTCACATCTCACGTATGGATTATGTGTTCTTCTAAGTTTATTAATAAACATACGTACTTCTAAATTCTTTTCAACCAACTGAAAAATAAAGATTGCCTAGGGGTTCTGATTAGACACTACAACCTTGTACACAAGATGTTTAATTTAAGCTCTCTTTATCGCTATAGTTATTACCCTAATATTAAGTGCATTTAAAATTAATATTTTTAAAAATGCAGTGTAGAAGCATCAGCTGTAAAGCCACATCAGATTTGTGTTCCTGAAATCTGTATTACTTACAGATTATTTTTCTCTATGGAAAAAGACATTTCTTATTTAAGAAATGTCTAGTTAAAATTTAATATGAAAAATTTTAAATAAACATAATGTAACTACAATTATCTTTTTTTGCAAATGGATAACTGTTAAATGCATCTAAAAATAAGACTTTAAGGATCCTATGCCACATAATACAGAAACATATTCCCATGTAAAATTAAATGTAGACTTACCACTTGCAAATTTACCAAGATGTGTTGTAATTTTTCTGGTGCTTGCATTTAGAGGTTTTATCTTGATTCATTCCTTTTTTAGTTACATCCCAACAAATGGATCTCTCCTCAATAACAGTTCTCCATGAGAATCTATTAATGGTTTAACAAATAATGATCTCTTACAAAGATAAAAATTGTAAGCCACTAAATATTCTGTGAAAATGTCAATTACAAAAGTTTTAAAATCAAAAATAAGATGATTCAACGCCACCTGATTTTGTGTTTTCATATCCTACCCCATCCCCCCAAAATCTGCATTTGATTACCATTATACAGGAAAGTTCTCTCTTTTGAAACCACCCAGTTCCCATAAAATCAAATTAGTATTGTATGTCCAACATTTGGGCTTCATCAAACTTCCTGACCACAAATCACAAAATGACAACAGATTCTGAGATCACTGATGGGACAAAATGCAATGTAATGTCTATCAAGATGTGAGGCTGGAACTGTCCCATCACAATTGATAAACATAAACTAAAGAGTTTAAAATAGAAGCAAGTTTTAGTTTAAAATATTTTAAGGAAAAAAGCTATCCTCCTGTAATGAACCATTAAGAGAATCAACCATAAAAGTTAGTTTCTACAGTCCAAGCTTAAACAATAATAAAGAGTTCCAGATAACATACATACATACACCGATTATGTATTTTATTAATTCACTTAGCATCTATTGACTATATGCTATGCTTTTGCACAGGATACAGATAAAAAAGAGATGAGCCCCGTCCTCAGTGAAGACAGACTAGTAAACAGACCAGATCAATACCTTTGTAAGACAAGGTGAGATAGAAGGCAAGACAGCAGGAATGCATCTCATAGAGGAAGGGTACTGGCTCATGGAACTTTTCTCAGTTATGGGAATATTTACGTTCATACTAGGTTGTAGTACAAAAGGTATTTCCTATGGTGAGTTGCCATCAGGAAAAGGTTTCTGGAGAGAGTGAAACCTGTGAGTTAGCTGGTCAACGAATGAGGCTCTTCTGAACAAGGGAGCAAAATATGCAAAAGTATAGAAGCAGGAAGAGAAAACCCTAAGTAAACTGAAATTACTAGAGTCATTGCATATGGAAGGATGGGATAAAACATGTTTAACCTTTTGAATACACTCACCTCTAAGAAATATACTTCATAACATTACCAGTACACACAGAAATATATATGAGAATGTTCTATACTCATTAAATATATAATTCAAAAAGTTTAATGAAATATTTGCCCTTACTACATGTGATGTACTCTGATACCGTTATTCTATTTTATCCTAGTTCATTTTAATAAAAATAGATGTTGGTCACAGCCCACTAAAGGAATTCCATAACCCGCAACAAAAGAGTAATCTAAGAGGGAAAAACACTGTTAAACCATGCTAATGAGTTTGGACTTTGCACTGAACACAGTGGAAAACCACTGCAGGATTTTAGGCAGAAGAATGCCATGATGAAGTTCACATTTTGGAAAGAACAGCAACACTATGAAGGATGGACTTGGGTGGATGGATAAAGCTCCAAGACGGACTACACAAAATTAGCTAGGCTTACTGGTTACCCAGGTGAGAAATGAGGGCATGTGGGAAGACCAAACAGTAGTGACTTGTAAGGGGAGTGTGGAGGAACAGGGGTAAAGAAGGAATACTTAGGACAGGAGACATGCTGGAAAGGGGCAGATTAAGAATTTAATGAGGAAAACTGACAGGACTTGGTGATCAATTGGAAGCAAAGGGCAGACTGCAGGTTTTTGGCTTAGGGACTACGTGAAGGGTGGTACCATTCTCCAAGACAGGAAATGAAGGACAAGTTACGAGCTTCTTAAGCATACTGTTTACCACAGTAAAAGGAAAGTATTACATACTAAGGATGTGAGAAATGTATCAAAATCCTTAGCATTACATTTCCATTCCCCTTATAGACTTCTTTAACTGGATTTTCTCCCAGCGTCAATTTTTCTATGGCCCTGATTGTTGGACTGTCAAATGTGATTTGTTTCTACTCTAACTTTCTAAGCTAATTTACAGTGCTTTCCTTGCCTGCACCTTTGATTTCTTAGGGACAAAATATGGAATGACAAAGTACAGGAGCTGCTACTCTAATAGCAAATGAATGAATTCATCTTCTTCTAGAAAAAAATCACAAGCAGAATTAAATGCAGTACAACAAAATGTCTGAGACAGCCAAAGTCAATAACCTGCTAT